CGGGGGGTCAATCTTCGGCTGCCGGTGGCGCTGGGAGACGACCAGCATGACTTGGGGTAAGAGCCCAGTGGAGGGGTGGCAGGGTGGGGAGCCCTGGGGTGCGCTACGGGCTGACGGCAGGGCTGCGTACGCTTTAGCCCAGCCTCGGGGACAGCAGCGTGCTGATCCCGCCTGGGGTCTGCTCCTGTGCCCCAGACGTGGCCAGCAGCCTCCTGCTGCTCGCTCTGAACGTGCTGCTCTCTGCTTATAACTTGCCTGTGCCAGGACCTGGGTCACTTGCTTCTGCAGGGTGTCCCACGACCCCTAGCACGGTCCAAGGTCTCCTGGCTCTGCCCCAGTGCCGTTGAGGCCAAGGGCCGGCTGCGTCACACAGCCGCGTACCTGCAGGCGTTACAGCAGCCCGAGCTGCGCTGCTCTGCTCCGCTCCTCCCACCGGGCAGAGGCTGTGTGCGGCGCGGGGGGCGGTGACTGCCACCAGCTCTGCGTCTGTTCGGTTGGGCCCCAAAGTGCGAGTGAGAGCTCAGAGTGGCTGAGACACGTTCCCAGACCTGAAGCTGGAAGGTAACGGCATGGAGCGACTGTGCGGTGGAAGGGGAGCAGAGGTGGTTTCCCAGGGACAGCCCAGCGCTGTCCAGGGGCAGGGGCAGCAGCTCTTGGGCCTGGAGGGATGGTGCTGCTCTCCTGCAGCCCCAATGTCCCACTTGCAGACCAGATGCAGTGGTCGATCCGTGGCTCCTGGCTTTATGGGACAAGATCCTCGCCTTGTATCCTCTCCCTCCTGGCCTTGAGATCATCAGTCCAGATGTACGGTGAGTGCGGAGGGTAGGTAGGGGCTGCTGGAGCTGGCTGCTGTGAAGTGCCCTGCTTCCTTGGCTGTTCTCCGGGGTGGAGATATGCTCTGCTTTGACCAGGAAGCCTCCCCACACAGCTTCTTGGTCCCGAGTATCCCTTGGACTTTGGCCACAAGTGGCACATCTCTCTCTGGATGGGGTGTCCCCTGGGTGGAAAAACCCAGCAGGGTTCTACCCCTCTTGCCATCCTGATGTTCCTCTGCCCTTGGCAGACCTGCCAAGCATGTGTGCCCAGCCAGCTTCCCTCTGCCTGCTCTGGAGGCAGATCTCTTTCTCCCGGCAGTCTGCATTGCGTTCCCTACCACAGGCCAGCTCCAGGGGACAGGGACGATGGGTGGTGGATACGGTGGGAGCCTTCAGGCCTTTCCCTGCCTCCAGCCTCTAGCGCTGTAGTGGCAGAGGGGGGGTGGCATGGAGGTAACCACACTGCGTTGCTCTCCTCCCCACAGCCTGCCCCCGAAATACACCCTGCACTACCTGGCTGAGGACTCCCCGCACCCCGACAGTGGCCTGCTCCAGCCGACAGCACCCAGGGCTGTTCCCTCCGAGCTGCATCCCTTCGCCGCCCGGATGGTGTCCAATCAGCGAGTCACAGCAGAATCCCATTTCCAGGACGTCCGGCTCATCGAGTTCGATGTCACGGGCTCAGGGATCACGTGAGCATTTTCCTGACTCCCCTGAGCTTTGCTGTGGGGGATCGGGTGTCCCACAGCCTGCCTTCCTCTTCCGCTCCCCTTCAGTAATATCTGAGGCTCCAGCCTCGTGGACGTGGTCCCTGCTGTGCTGTCCCCCTCCGTGACAAAGTCAGGGGCGGGTGGCAGTGTGGGTCCTGCCCGTGGACCATGTCAGGTTAGAGAGCACAATGTTAGTCACACTGGAAATCTGGCTGAGTTGTGGCCTCTCCCCCGGTGCAGGTGCTGGTCGGGCTGAGGGTGCTGTGCCCGTGGGCCTGCCCCGTGGCTGCCCTCGGCAGGTCCCGCTGTACCCGCAGGTTCAGCGCGGGAGACGTAGTGATGATCCAGCCCCAGAACTGCCCCGAAGACGTGCAGCAGTTCTGCCAGCTCCTGCGCCTGGATCCAGACAGACGCTTTTTGCTGAAGCCTGCAGAGCCTGGTAGGTGCTGCCTGCTGCTCCTTTCCCTCCCTGCTGGGACAGGGCAACCTCCTGAGTCCTGGCCCAGCCTGGAGCTCTGCTTTTCCTTTGCTTTAGACCCAATTAATAGGGAGCTGGGAGTGGCTGGAGGGGCCCAGAGCGTGGAGGATCCTGCAGCCTCCCCAGCCCAAGACCA